GGGAGAGAGAGAGAGAGCAAGGGAGAGAGAGAGAGAGCAAGAGAGAGAGAGAGAGAGAGAGAGATGAGAGAGGAGAAGAGAGAGAGAGAGAGAGAGAGAGAGAGAGAGAGAGAGAGAGAGAGAGAGAGAGAGAGAGAAGAGAGAGAGAATCAATATAGTTATTCATTTCCAATTTTGACGAGTGCTTATTTAAGCCTACACAGAAACTTAATTTGAAATGATTAGCCGGCAAAACCCACACTATTGAAGAATTCGTCTCCAGACTGAGTTTTTTTCTTATAGGTTACAGTCAGATCGTATAGAAGATAATTCTATTTTTCTTTAAACGTTTGTTCTTTCTTCAGTAAAGTCATTAGTGTAATATAATTCAATTTCAATTTTCAGTACAGATTTGAACGCTGCGGTAGTGGTTGTTCGAAAATGGTACCTTGTAATTCTACAAATAAAGTTGATACATATGTAGTTTTTTGTTACTCTAACTAACTTTGGAAAAATTCATTCTAGATATTTGTATTTGTTTATAGAATCTATGATAGTTAGGTATTTGAATCACACCGCTTAGGGAGGGAAATGAAGCCGATGCCGCAGCCAGAAGCTGAAATCTAAAACTAATAATTATCTATTCTTGGTTTTAAGACTCGATTGAAATTAAATCGTATCAAAATCAAATAAATTCATTTAAATTATTTTAAAAGTCAATTAGATATAATTGCGAAAATTATTTAGAAATGCAATGAGACGCCATCAATCAATTGACTTCCCATTTCCATTTCAATCCTCTTTCGAAAAGAGTGTGAATAGACAAGTCATCGAGAATAAGAATAAGATTCAATGAAAAAATATTAACAAGGCCATGATTGCACTTGCAAAGATTTAAACGGGAAATAGGCCCGCGGCGACGAAAGACTCTCGCTTGAAATTTGTTTTGGCTGCGGGTCTGTGACACAAGTTTACTGAGATCCTACGATGATGAATATTTGAAAGAATACTTTGTTGTAGTGTAGTAAGTATTTCCCTTCATTGGGGACGGTAGGCCTCGTAGCAGAATCCGGAGGTTCATGTCTCGGCCATCAGTAATTAAGTAATAAGATAATAAAAAAGGAAATGCAGTTTCCGGACTTGGCATCCTGACGGAGGTCGGACGCTGCTGGAGAATGGTTTAAAGTTATTTTTTTGTGTTTTAAAGGCCGTAGCATGAAGTAATTGGCGAGGAGGGGAGTCTTCGAGGGACTTTCTGCCGCAGGTGAATACGAGACGGCCAGTGGTAGCGGTAGTAGTGGGAATAAAGACGAATATTTGTTTCGGAGGAGTACCACCCCGCTCGCGGTGATAAGTAGGGCTTCCTCTTCTTCGGGTTGTGGGGCTTGGGCTTTTTCGTCTCTCCGGCGTGTCCTCTCAAGTCTCTCCTTTCCGGGACGTTAATCCGGGATGGCCAGCTCTTCTGCCAATAGTTCTTTTGCCAATAGTTCGCAGGAGTTGGCCACTGCTCTCTAGGCCTGCGGTGCCCTGTAGGCCTATTCGGCGGGATGGCACTTGACGTTTCCCTAAAACTTGCCTGGGTTGGTCTGTGTGGCGTTGCGTGGAGTCTGTCTTGCGTGTTAAAAGGCCGATGAAATATACACATTCATTACCTGCTGGGACGTTGTTTTGGAGTGTCCTGTACGAAGGAATTTGCATATGTATTGTAATTTTTCCTGTACCATGTTATGATCGCATTAGGATGAGGGTTGCTAATAATCCGGGATAGAACTGTGCGAAGCAGAGTAAAGAATAAGGGCATTGCCACGGTAAATGTAAACCAACCCTTACCTAGATCAAAAGATTTATGATTGAGAAAAATCCCAACAGTGCGCTGGCCTCCATGTTTAGCGCTTCCAGAAAAGCAAAGAAATCGCCGCTGCATATATATTTTGACGAAATAGCCTCTGTAGCCCTCAGGTAATTCACGCAAATAAGGAGAGAGATCTGGCTCTGTTTTGTTGAATATAATTGGACTAGATTTATTTTCCTTTGCTAAAACACAAAGTATAAATGATAGTAACATATTTATTTTGGCACAAAGTAATTATATATATACATATACACATATATATTAGTAATTTATTGTATGGATGCACTTGACAGAGGTTAAGTCACCAACTCCATGCCACAAAATTTATGCAACATTTTCAGTTGTCGTGACTGCATGTGCACTTTCGGCAATGCCCAAATGGAGGATTAATGGGGAGCTCTGCCCTCCAACACCCCCGGGAAAATGGTCTTCACCTCTGTATGCGCAGCGAGACAGAGCTTGTTAAATGTTTCTGTATATACTTGGCTCTGCCAGTGCTAACCACGAAGGAGTCGATTAGTAGATCTTATGACCTCACCTTTCTTTGAAATAGTGGGAAAACGCTCTTTTCTATATATATATATATATATAATATATATATATATATATATATATATATATATATATATATATATATATATATATATATAAACCTTATAATTACAGTATTGTTATTGACATTCTTAAGAAGCAGTATTAAATACTCGAAAATATTATTGAAAATCAAGAAATGGTAAACAGGTGAACAGGTAGTTCTCATAATTGGCTCATTGTGACTTAGTGCTTGCGGAGCCATCTGTATTAAAAACCATTACTAATTAAACAAACAGTGGCCATGGCATGTACACACGTACCATCCCCGGCGACAAGTGGTTAATTTTTTAATGTTATTTTTTTTTAGAAATAATCTGATATTAATTTTTTGTACAAACGTTAAGTGTCCATGATTGCTGCCCGTTGACCACTTCATCTGACAGCTTAGAGTACCCATGGAAAATTACCCCATTCTATGTGCGTTAAGTTTTTAAGTAATGAGGCTAAAGGTGCTGTCACACTAGCACTTTTTCTGTCAATTTTTTTACAATTTTCTGAAATTTTCTCCATTCTTGAGCGAATTGTCGATTTTCCAGTCAGACGATAATGATCGTTTCCTTCTGAAAACCTTTCTGTCAATTTTCAGCCAAGCATAGTCAAATCAAGAGCTATAAAATTGTCAAAAAATTGACGGTAAAAGTGCTAGTGTGACACGGCCTTAAGAAGAGGCTATTTCTCCATGAGCCAGGGCTAAACAAGCACCTAGCGTGCGGTGCTTAGGCCAGGTACGCACGAACACCCATGAGCGGTGACAAGACTCTGTGCCTCCCCTTTTTAGAAGTTATTTTGTGAAAACTTATTTAGCCTTATCGTCAATTTCCAATGTCCATATTTGTCTTTTGATTTGCAGTATCCAGATGGTAATTACATATTTTCCTTGCACAGACTCTGTATCATATGTATGTAGTAAATAGCTTTTTTTTCTCTCTCTCTTTTTTTTCTTTTCTATTTTCTTCTCTTTCTTTTCTTCTTACTTTCTTATTTCCTTTTTTTTTTTTTGCTTTCTTTTCTTTTTTCTTTTTTTAATTTTCAATTTTACATAATACAACTTGCGCCGCCGATCACAGAGGCTAGGAATATGGTGCGCATATGGTGTCACTCTTTATCTAAAAACCTTAACTCAGTGGAATGATTATAACAATAAGGAACATTTTGTTATGCATGTAATTTTTAAAATATTTTTGTTATATTAAAGTTTCTGAATACAACATGGGTCACAGGAGGCAGGAAGAGGATCTGGGGCTTGGAAATAGTGTCCTTCCCGGAGCCAGCGCTCTTCCAGCCATGGCTCACAGAGGGGCATTTCACACTTGTTTACTGATAGGAATAATGCAGAGCCCTTCCTAATCCCCTGAGTCGAATCACCCTCCAAGACCTTGTGCACTCAAAGGCGAAATTCGCATGACGGCAAGTTACCGTCATCCTGGCCCGGATTCACTAATGCACTTACGATGGTAAAATCACTGGTAACATAGTTACCATGGTAACCAGACAGCAGTGGTATTCACTAACAACTTGCCATTGGAGTTACCATGGTAAATTTTACCAGCGGTCAGAGCACTGGTAACTTCTGGGAAGACGATGTCATCACGTGTTATCTCGTCAAAAAATCAATATCTAAGCAAAGTTTTGGGTTTGTTTTACACCTGATATGATGGCAAACAGATGTCACAATTGGACATGGCGAAGAAATGCAGATTTCAAATGAAACTAGCAAGAATAAAATCCACATAAATTCTCGTAAAATTATAGGCCTATATTATACTAGATTACATGGAACCAATAAAGTGAACTCATGAAGAATCCTTCTCTGACATAATTATTACAAATGCTATGGAAAAACTACCTTGCTGATATATAAACTGGCAATACCAATGCTAAACGAGTATAGCAATGTCTGTATCTGTCGGCATTTTGACAATAAACTGCAAATTACATGGGCAAGAATAAACTTTAAATATTTCCTTTGTTGATAGACGGCGACGAATAAGAATTTTGGTTGGTTCTTTGTTTAACAACGATGAAAAATGTATAAATAAATTAATTGTCTGGACTGTCTCTTTGGTTTGAGGTAAACATAATATATTAATATAACAGTGTTTGTATTGGTTCCTATCTATACAGTAAATATATATCCCACATGATGGATATAATCAAATGAATATGTATATTTTTCTACATTTGTTTAAATAGTGTTTTAGCTCTTGACGATTATTTAAACAATCTCGCTGTGTCTAGTTCTGTTTACATGTTACATGATTGGCCGAAGGAACCTAAAAGATTATGTATAGCGCTCGCTGATTGGTTGAATTGCTTTACCAGAGCCCTCTGTTGGCTACCATTAGAATGAGTCGATTTACGATTGTGACTCAGCATATCCAAATTACCATTTCTTCATGAATCCCGCTTTGCCATGACTGGTAAATGCAATGGTAAATGACCACTGGTAAATGCATTACGATCGTATGTTAGTGAATCCGGCCCCTGGCCTGCAGCCAATTTTTCCAAGACTGTATGGTCATGTCACCTGCCCCTCGAACCTTTTTTTTAACACAATGACCATATCATCTAGATTGTAGGGGTAATTAACTTTTTTTTCCTGTGTGTTGAAAGTGTTTCTGATGATATGCCTTTTGAATTTTATGAGTCTACCAGTTCATGTACAGTTTAATTAAAGAAATTGATTACCAAGCACACACACGCAAAAAATGGGTTTTGGAAGAAAGATAAAGCAACTGATTAGCCACATAGAATTATTTACTTTGTGGAAATTCTTATCAAACAAGTAATCTTGGTGAATCACATAGTTCAGGGAACTGATAAGATGAACAGCCATTACTTGTGTAAACCAGGAGTCAGCCATAGAGGAACACATGTAGGCCTAACTTCATGGTGTTATGATAATAATAATGATATATTAATATTATTATTATATTATTCATTATCATTATCATTATCATTTGTATTTTATTTTGTCTTTTTCTTTTTCCTCCTTTTTGAGGCTGGGGTCTGTGTATGGTAATGAATTTTTATTACTTAACACACTAACGCCGATATTTTGAAGGCGAAATTAAAAGTTTCAGGGTGGCTCCAAAATCGTGTGCGGGACTGGCCCGGACTCTGCCCGCGTGCTGGCCGCCGCCTGCCGCTGAGTCGGAGTGCTAGCCTGATACAGCATCACACTAGCTGGACGCCCGGCAATTTTTTTTCTGGGTGTCTCACATGTAGGACACTCGTCGTAAGTGGGTTAAAAGATTGTGTTACTAAAATTTTGCTTATTTTGCAGATTCCACAATGAGTTTTACAAGTGACGAAGTGAATTTCCTGGTATATAGATACCTACAGGAGTCAGGTATGTTCATCAAAAGTTGAAAATATGCTGCTTGTCTCTCTAGGAGGCATACAGTAAGGTTGTATATGAGAGAGAGAAAGGATTTTTTTTTTTTTCCCCCTGCCTGGTCCTACTGAAGATTTGTATGACACAGTTGCTTTTAAAAATGTCTTATAGAAAGATCAAACTAAATGCGGCATGTCCATTATCAAGGTGTGCTTTATTGTGTGAGTTATTACGTGCATCACCCTCTTGACCTTAATGTGTTCTTTCTGACCCACAGGATTCTATCATGCAGCATACGTATTTGGTATCGAGTCTCACATATCACAGTCAAATATCAATGGCGCACTGGTTCCGCCCGCAGCTCTCCTCAGTATAATACAGAAGGGATTACAATACACAGAGGCAGAAATTAGTATAGGGAGGTGAGTACAAATGTTTGTCATGAGCTGGACCTTCCTTGATGCTCTGATATTTCTTGTCCATATCTCGGTCCTGCTAACGGTAGTTTTGGTGTTCATGATTATTTATTTATCTATGTATTATGTTTCATTTATTTATTTTTTTTTTTTTTTTTCCTTGCTATTTTAATTGTCATTATTATATTCAACAGTAGTATTAAATTTATGTAGATATGTAGCTCTAAACTTGGTTTACAAGACGCTTCCTAATGCATTTCAAATTCCAAGTCCTTGGGGTTCATAATGTTCTGTGTTTAATGGTACACAGTAGTGAATCGTAATCTGTCGTTACAACAGGATGGCTCCGAGAGACTCATTGACAGCCTCTCCCTCATTGACGCGGTGATGCCAGATGTTGTTGCCTCAAGACAACAGCAAAACCAACAGCAAAAAGCCGTAGTCAAAACAGAAATTCCAAGCACAAATGGGGATGAAGGTAAGTAGTGTTTCAGGTTTATTGTGGCTTTGTTGTTGTTGTTTTTTCCTTTGATGGAGTTCAGAGATAAGCAGGTTCAGAGCTAGACATTTGATAATTTTCTTGTATGTATGGGGGAAATCTTCACTTTTATGACTTCTTATCCTTGAATAATGTAAAGATTTACAGAAGTACTTTTCTGACATTGCTAACTGTACTATCCATTTTAATGAACTACTTCTAATTCAGGGACCACGGGAGAAAACATGGACGTTGACAACAGTGTAGAGATCCCCCTCAACAAGGCAACAATATTGAGAGGCCATGAATCCGAAGTCTTCATTTGTGCCTGGAATCCAACCACAGACCTCTTGGCATCAGGGTTTGTACTTTTGTGTTTTTTTTTTTTTTATGGTTTTCTCATTTTATGAAGTAGTTTGACTCTGCCCCATAATATGAATGAACTTGTAAGGGAAAGGGTTAGAAATATTTGTAATATAATACCTAAGTTTATGAGTGATATATGCTCTTCTATCATTTTTTATTAATGGGAAATGAAATGTCATGGAATTGTTTTCCATTTCAGATCAGGAGACAGCACGGCACGCATTTGGAACATGAACGATAATAATTCTTCTGCCAATCAGCTTGTCCTCCGTCACTGTATTCAGAAAGGAGGCACGGAAGTCCCAGCAATAAGGATGTTACCTCTCTTGATTGGAATGTAAGTTTGACTCCTAGCTTTTTGAATATGCTGTTTGATGGAGCTGTGTAAGGATTCTTTTTAGTTTGTGATATGTGGTTCAGGAAGTAATGAATAAGGAATAAATTTATGTTCATAAAGTTTCAGTTACATGATTATATATACAGTATGTTTATTTGAGTGTGTGCATTTGCTTCATGCATACATGCATGTATTTCAGATGGACAAAGAATGAGTTTACCTGAAATAGCTATTTGCTGAGTCATTAAGATAATCTGATATTAGTAATAAAGTTTTTCAGGAAAATATCTTTTGTTTTTTAGTGTGATGGAAATCTCTTAGCAACTGGATCATATGACGGCTATGCAAGAATCTGGATGACAGATGGACGGTTAGCATCGACTCTCGGTCAACATAAAGGACCCATCTTCGCGCTAAAGTGGAATAAGAAGGGCAACTATATTTTAAGTGCAGGTGTAGATAAGGTAAGTTCTGAAAGATCTGTAGAAGCTTTGATGTGCTGAAGGTGTGTTACCAACTGCGTACAAGATAATTGTAATGCTTTGAGAAGAGGAATCATTAAAAGAAACTATTATCACAGGTCATCTAATGGCCAAGTAACTTTAGAACAGATACCAGTGTCGCTAGAGTACTTGTCTTTTGACTGATTGCATTTCTCTTCACCCGCAGACCACTATCATTTGGGACGCTTCCTCAGGGCACTGTACACAACAATTTGCCTTCCATTCAGCTCCAGCTCTTGACGTGGACTGGCAGAGCAACAATTCCTTTGCAAGTTGTTCAACTGACCAGTGCATCCACGTGTGTCAGCTGGGCGAGAACAGACCTATCAAATCATTCCAAGGGCATACAAATGAAGTCAATGCCATCAAGTGGGATCCACAGGGGAATCTTCTGGCATCCTGTTCAGATGATATGACTCTAAAGGTAAAGGGGGCTCCCTTCTTCAATCTCTGTGAAAATTAGATGTGTTTCTACACTGTCTTAATATAAGTTTCAAATTAGATGTCTCTTCAGGCTGCTATCGTCATGATATTCTCATAACTCATTTATTTATTTATTTATTTTTATTTTTTTACTTCTTCTTCTTCTTCTTCTTTTTTCTGAGGTCCTGTTTGGCAATGCATGTTGTTGTGTAATGGTCCCACTTTAACCAACACAGATCTGGTCGATGCGGCAAGACACTTGTGTACACGACCTGCAGGCTCACAGTAAAGAAATTTACACTATCAAGTGGTCGCGACCGGTCCAGGAACGAGTAACGCAAATATGAATCTTATTCTTGCTAGGTACGGTATGGTATTCAGTCATATTGTGAAAGAGACTATGATTTATATTAGTTAATATATGTATATTTTTTTAGTTTTACAGTATCTTTGAAAAGGAAATTAGGTATAAATTATAGTGAATCTAGTCTTAAGTGAACATCTATTGTGCTCTACATTTCAGTGCGTCATTTGACTCTACGGTTCGACTATGGGATGTAGAGCGTGGTGCCTGTATACATACCCTGACAAAACACTCAGAACCTGTATATTCTGTGGCCTTCTCTCCAGATGGCAAATTCTTAGCATCTGGAAGCTTCGACAAATGTGTCCATATTTGGTCTACGCAGGTGAGTGATGCAGTTGTTTTAAATGTGTTCCTTTTCTGTGGCTCTTTTTTTATTCAATTATAGGTTTGTTGGAATACTTATTGCTAGAACTTGATTGATATGATTTTTTTTTTTTTTTTTTTTTTTCTTCTTTCTTTTCTTTTTGAGGGAGGGCATCTTTTGAGATTTCTCATTTATGAACTTTTACCATCGTTCAATGATGATCTGTAAGAGAATCTAGTTTCATGTATTTTTTTCTCTTTTTTGTTTATTTTTCAGACTGGGCAGCTGGTTCACAGCTACAAAGGCACAGGTGGAATCTTTGAAGTGTGCTGGAATTCTCGAGGAGACAAAGTGGGAGCTTCGGCATCTGATGGAAGTGTTTTTGTTTTGGATCTGCGCAAGTAGTAGAAGGCAGTTAAGACTGAGATGTGTGGTGAACTGTTAAGTTGATGTGAATGGGACAGACTTATTGAAGAACTGAATGGAAATAAGGGTAGGACGCAAAAAGTGCTGTTAAGGAAAACTGAGAATATGGATAATAATTGCAGCTCGGAAAATGCTTCAGAAGAGAAGGGGAAAAAGGAAGGAAAGAGGAGAGATTGCTGGGGTATTCTTGTTTTTAATTGTTTCTTATACTAAAGATGATTCTCTATGTTAAATGGACAAAAGGATTTTGTGCATAGTGTGAGTTTACTTGAAACGGGGAAAACAATAGTGATGTCGGAGAAGAAAAGAAAAGGTTCTAGCAAGAAATGGCGTCATGAAAGAGCAGTGTTCATACATGTGTGAGGGGATGTTCCGACGCCTCTTTTGTTCTTGCGAGTTTGAGACATACTTGGGTGCATCGTGACTTTATATTGCATGACGGGTGAAAATGGTAGTTCCCACCAATCTTATTATGTAACCCACCTTTGTTTTTTTTTTTTTATCTTTGTGTATTATTCACATTCTCTTCAGATATATATAGTTTTTTCCCTCCAAAATTGTGGCATATGCAGAAATTGTGCAATTTTTAGTTTTATGATCATTTTTTTTTCACAACTTTCCAATTTTTAAAAATGTATGAAGCAGCAGACAACAGCCGGGGAAAAATGTTTGTGACTGCCAGAAGCAGAGATGGTGTACATATTAGGCCAAGGAAACGATGTTGAGGTATTAGTAACTTGGCAAGAGATACATAGGATGGGTAGGTCTTTCCTGCTCTGTCTTTTTTTCTATTTATTTTTTTTTACTTCTTCTTTTCCTTACAATACAGTCAATTTCAAGCCCTCGTGAGTTCCAAGGAGTTCTTCTAAATTAATTTAAAAATTGGCCAATTGTTGTCCTCATCCCTCCCTGGTCGAAGTTACAGGAACTTCAACATTGAAATCACTTGGCCTTTTACGTTTGTTCAGATCTCGCTCATAGGGTAGGCGGAAATGTGGTTTGTTAGTACCTGTATATCAGCTTTTGGAATTGTAGGAAGGGTTTTTTTTTTCATTCATTCTTTATCCCTTGATTTTACATTTACACTTATGGTCTGACCAGGGAGTCTCATACTTGATTTCAGGTGAAATAGTTGTTGTATATGTTGTGTAATATCTATAGTTCTTGGGTGTTATTTTTCCAGTTTACCAATATGTTTGTGAAAGTAACATAGACTGGAAACCTGTGTTCCATTAATTGCTATGTGTAAGCATTATCCATTAATTTCAGACATGGTTTCAGCAATGAAATATTCCAAGTGGTGTGATCCCATTAATATCAACTTAGGCTAGTGTGAATGCCAACCATTGCAGGTGGATGGACGAGATAGCCAACCTTCAGACAGCAAGTCAAAAGTGACCTCATAAGCCAGAGTTTCAGCCAGTTACAAAATGTCCAATTTTTCAGTTTTGAATGGAAGTTCCCTCTCGAAGTTAATAAGTTTTAGGAGCTCGTATTTCAAGACTCTGTCACAAATATAAGTATAATTTGCCTTGTTCTTTTCTAGGCTAGGATATACTAACTTTGTACCTACAGTGATTTTAGAATGAAGCTGAAAATATGGTAAATATTTCATTTTTATTACAACCTCTTAGTGAAAAGTGCATCTCTGCCACCAGCAAGAAAGAAGTGGAATCCTTTTTGATGACAGTTTTCATAACTTTAATGAAAGACATGTCACCAGACACAATTTTACCAGTGTTTCAATTTATATTTAAGAATAAACCACTCGTTCTTTTTTATCCCATGTTTGATGACTGATGCCCTTTCCTCCCATCATAAAAAAGAAGAAAAATAGTGTAAGAAATACCCAGAGGTCTTAAGTAGAGCTCTTTACGCTATTCATGCTATTGGGCTATTTAGTGTGGTATTTATTTCTTTTTGTTCTTTCCTAATTTGATGGTATTTGTTCTTAGTTCTTGTGATGACTCTCTTTTCTTTGTAAAATTATTTTCTGATCTTTCTAGACGTCCATTTCTTTTGATATGTTAAACAGATTCTGTATCCTTTGCCTGGTCTAGCTGCATCCATGATGTCTATATCTGCATGGAGATTGTCATTTACTCAGCACAGAGGAAGTTTTATTGAGATAGTGGTATTTGATCCATTCCTTTACACAGCCTTGCTTTTTACAGTGTTACCTTATTTTGAATATTTCATGAGATGGAATGTTTCTCCTTACTTTCTGTTTCACTCACTTATCTCTGGTATTTATCATCAGTAGAGTGATGATTTAGACAGTGATTCTCAAGACACTTTTCACATCACATTTTATTTATGGATTGCATAATGCACTAGCAAGATAATGTCTCACAAGCTGTTGTGTAAAGAACAGAGGATTTTTTTGTGGACATCACTATGAAGTCTAAAAGAGCTTTAATCCTTATCAGAACATCTCATGTTAGAGACCAAGATTATTGGGTTCTCATTGTAAGGAGCGGCCAGAGAAATAAAACTTTACAGTACAGTTTGTACATTCAACATCTTGCTCATAAAGGTGAAATGATTAATAACTTTAGAACAGACAGGGCCTGTGCTCCTGCTTACTTTGTGAAGCCATACATACTAGACTTGTGTGATCTGAAGGATAGATGTTTTAGCTCCAAGCTGAGCTAGTGAAGAAGAAAATCTACCAATGGTGGTGATATTTACTTGTATATTAACTTGTGCAATAATGAAATTCCAAAAAATACAAGGTATGAAGATAGAGCATTGTCATGCAATACTTGCACAAGTCATTTCTTTCTTGCAGCAAGCCTTTTAAAATGTTTAGAAATGAACATGACAGAATGCATGGCTAGAATTCTTTTGATGAATTAGAGGATGAATGAGCTTTCAACCACTGGTATTCATTGCTTGTTCTTGACCACGCAGGATACTTTATATCAAACATGGAGCAAATATTAAGTTAATCATCTCCTTCCTTCATTATCAGTCCATAATGACGAGTGGCATTGTTATTTCCCACCAAACAAGGCTGCATGATGGGAAAGTGACATAAATGCTCTCAAGGTTTGTTCACAGGAAGAAAAGTGATTCTTAGAGCCTTAGAAATATCTGAACCCAATGACTAGAAGATATTACGGATTTACTTTTAAGAAATATTTAAGAAATATATGAAGTTCTAAAAGGGATGTGCAATGAAGTTTAAGTAAGGATAATTATACAACTTGGATTTACTTCAAACATGAAATTTTATTGAAGACTAGATAGGTGTATAATTTACAAATGTCCATCCATCATTTCATTAAGCACTTCCAAAGATGACTTGTTAAATATTGGTTACTCATATCTTTTCTTTGGCATATTTATTTCTTCCTTAGCACTATGGAGGAGCAAACAAAACAGAAAAGTCAATCATTAGTAGCAAGAAATCTTCACTGCTGTATAGTCCATTCACTAAATGAAGGTTGGTTATACCACCTATACAGTATATTTCTATGTTAAATACTTATAAAAATGAATATACAGACATATTTACAATCTTTTCCTATCTTTTCTTTAAGCATACACTGATATATAGCTAATATGAGAAATGGAATTTATTAATAATGACATTACATACAAATACAATTCTGCTGACGAAACAAATTGCATACTAATTTTCATTACTGCTGAATAATAGGTTTCATGTGGCTGAGAAAACATTATACATAGAGATCAAATCAATGCTGCTTTGATCATAACATCACACATTTTTAACAAAACAAATAGAGGCAAACCTGATACAAGTTATTATGCAATAAAGAAAAGTTCAAAAACCATTTGTCATGCTGTAGTTATTATTTACACAAACAGAATGAAGAGTATATTAAAAAGAATATACATCTTTACCCTTATCGGTTGAAACGGATAATATTTACAGGTATATGTAATGAAGATTACTTGGACCATATATAATAGCCATACACTTATTACTTTTCAAAGCAATTTTAACAAATAACTGTTCTGATTCAACTCCTGATCCTGTACAAAATAAACCATATTTTATTAAAATATAGTCTATAATATCCTCCCATTAATCTCGAACACATCAAAGTATGAAATGCCACAGGAAAATGTTTTATATACCAGGAATTCAGCAGAACTGTATAAAATTATTCCTTTAAGAATAAACTGTTTTGCTAGCTGTTCAAACCATCAGAAAGGTTATCTGTTTAAACACTCACCCACATCATGCATTCACTCATGCGCAAACACACAGATGAATGCGCACACATACATACACAGATACGATACAAAATATAATAAAATATAAAGTACATGATGAGCACTGACATTTATTTTCTTCTAGGACCAAAATACTTTTATCTTTACAATATCCAAATAAGTTACTATTGCTAGCTACTTTTCTTCTAATTTTATATCAATCATTTCTCTCTCTAATGCTTTTTAACATTATGAGGTATAAATATAAGCTGAACTTTTAATTTTAAAACTATTTCTCCTCTAAACTCCAGCAAAATATTGAGATACTAGAGAATGACTCCACAATATAAAATGAATCGATACAAATATACAGATTATTATTTTTCTATATTATTTACCACAATCAAAGAATTTACATTTTCTCAAGGTAATTAGCTGGGCAAAACCCTTCTTGACCACGAAACCTGCACGTCCACCATCCAGACTTATCTGCGAAAGAGAAAGAGGATTTAAGGAATATTCATATTAATACACTACTAAAATATAAACAAATACTTGCAATACAGTTGGTACAAAGATGAAACAAAAACTAAATAGTACAAGAAGCACAAACAGGGTTAGTACAACGATGAAATGAAACACCCGATAGTTACAGAAACAGGAAAACAAATGGTGTCTCCCCACCATTGTGACCGTTTCATACCAAGCTATTTTAAGTTTCCATTCTATTGTGACCTTAGCATGAAATATAGTTTTTTCTTCCTTTAAAATCTGGGACATGGCTTGCCACTGGCTTCTGCACGGCTGTACTCCCCTGGAAACTTTATCTTTCTCACAAAGTCTCATTTGGATTTTCATCTCACTTAGAAAGCAGTGAAACAGTATTACAAAGGCTTTCTTTATGTTGAATATACAATTGTCACTGAAAAATGCATTTACTACTCTTCTTTCTAAAATGATGTTTGTCCAATAAATGTATAAAAAAAGCATGGTGTTTGGAAGGCTGGAGCTCACAAACCTAATGCCTTTGAAGCAATAACACTACATGCCTTTACAGCACATAGAACTGAGAGCAGCCTCTGTCATGGCATGTCATGCTGCCAACTGGAATTCAGGCTCACTGGCATATTCCATCAGATGTCAATTGTAGCCATTGTGTCAAAACTGCTTTCTCTTAAAAAAAAAAAGAATCACTATTTCATGAATATAAAACTGCCAAGAAAAATGTATATTGACTTACCTTCTTGTACTAACACCATAATATCTCCTTCATTAAATGTCAGCTCATCTATATCACTTGCATCATATCTGAAAATAAAAATCACCCAATGATACATATATCAAAGTTCTATTCTGAATGCGCAGAGTGCAAAAAATGTTTAACTGCCTGGATATAGTCGGTACAAATAAATATGGAAAAAAATAAAAGCTGTAAATTAAAACTTCAACCCTTGAGACCAATAGTGTAGAGATACCCTCTGAACTGATTTACAAAATAGATAAATACAACCCTGTTTGCAATAATGAGTAAATAAAAGAAAAAAATCTAAAATTCAAGGAAGAGGGTAAATAATCAGTCTGGCAATCTGACAAAACAAACATTAGTGTGGAGAAACACTATACTCAGTACTAATGAATGAACTGCCAACAACAAATAACAATTATTGAAGAAAGAAAGAAATCACAATATTGTTATTACCCATAGAGTGCCCTGACTTAGGGTACTGTAGGCTTGGGTCTATTAATAGGTGGTTTTGCGGGTAGACTTGCTGGGGTCTATTCACACTACGCGAGCTTCCATTCCCGATGCTTGGCTGATTGTCTGGACAAGGATCGCTAGGTGGTGGAGGCGCGGCTGCATAGCTTGAATTGGAGGACTACCCATTCCAGGCAATCTAAAGGCAGGCGGTCCTCCTCCAGGATTCAATGGCATTCTTGCTACAGGAGGACGTGGGAATCCAGGACTTGTCACTGGCTGAGCACTTGGGGGCGAAATTGTGGTCCTGCTGGCCCTCGGTCTTGGGGAAACTGCTGCTAAGCCGGGGGTTTTGGGGCGGTCCTGAGGGCCTTGGAAGGGGACTTCCACCGGGGCTCCTGTGTACAAAATTCCTAGTAGGTGCTGCAGGTTTCCTTTTGAGCCAGGGACATTATTACTCTTGGGTGATTTCATCTCATTGGCAAGAATTCTTATATCCGGAGTTATCACATAATACCAGGCCCTAGAGGAGAGAGAGAATACTATGGTTATACATCTTTCATAACCTAAATTTAATAGATTTTTGAAAACAAATGATGTACAACACTAAAAAAAAACTACCAGTTTTTACTTTAGCAAATCAAGGACTCCTTTAAAATCTACAGTAAGAGAACACCAAAGCTACTGAGAGAAGGCAATCTAACATACTGTATTCTCATTAAAGGCATCAATCTAACATACAAATGGCATCAAATTACACAAATACAAGTCTTGATATCTTTGTGTCCTACATGCAGAGGCTGTTACATCTCATACAGTTTCAAAAATAATGTCATACCTGCAAATTGGACAGAATCCTATGTAAAATAGGAGGAAAAACAAATTTATTTGATTGTGCTCCATTTTTTCACTTTTCCTTTCAACTGTAAACTTTTACAAAGGTCATTTCATGGTAAAGATAAAGGCAAAAAGTCAAATATAGATGACTGAGATGGTGTTTACTGAATGTCAAAATAAAGTATATCAATATAAATCAAACAAAAATATAGACACAGCCAGGCCAACACACACACACACACACACACACACAACACACACAACACACACACACACCACACACACACCACACACACACACACACACACACACACACACACACACACACACACACCACACACACACACCACACACAAACACACACACTAAACACACACACTAAACACACACAACACACTAAACAAACACACACACTAGAGTATATGAAACATCACTCACTTGAAGTGGAAGATAGACCATGTGCAATCTTGACAGACAGCGTAGAACCAGAAGATGCGAATAGGGGTTCGTCTGTGGTTCCATCTGTGAATCTTACTCGTCTTGTCCCTCCACCACCCCATCCAGTTTTCTTCACTCGGAAGTCAAAGCTAAAAAGGATTTATGAAAATTAAGTATTATAACAGTAATAAAAATAGTAGTAGTAGCAGTAGTAGTAGTAGTTAGAAGTTAGCAGTAGTAGTAGTAACAATAATAATAAGTTTATCTATGAAAGATGAAAAGAACTAAATTTCTTTTGAAGGTCATGATGTAATTTCATTCACAGTTCATCTTATCAATTCTCAATAACTGTAAAACAGGATATGAGAAACTGATTGACAGCTATGAGCAGCATCAAAACAGTAATCTATATATGATAATACATTCTTAGAAAAACATCAGTAAGATAAGACAGTAACACTTTGTGAGGAAACAGTCTGAAAGGTTACATTTGTATGAGGCTTCCACTACTGTAAAATGTGTGTATCATATCTTTAGTAACCATATCATGCTTGATGAGCAAAGCAAGAAAAAGAATGCATAATTTCACACACTAATATTGTAGTCACATTAATCAATCCCTCTAACTTTATGAAATTACCATTTCCCAGTCACCCTTCATACACTGATTTTGGTAGCTTTTTTTTCAGTCTTTAAAAGCAAGAAATGAAACACATAATGACAATACATACCTGTTAATGAAGTTCAGAGGCAGCTCTCTGTTATGTCTTTCTTTTAATTTGTTGTTAAGGACCATCAGAAATTCCGTCTTGAAGCGTATTTCCAGCAATGACTCATAGTCATTCCGGACGTGGATCAGAACCAGGTCATCTTGGTATGTGGACAGAGTGGCCTAGAGGAAGATTGCAATGGTCTAAAATCAAGAAAAGAAGAAGAAAAACAACTATGCCTGATCAACTTTCACTGACATTTTTGATAAATAAGTCTACTACTAACATCAGAGAGAAGAGAAGAGAAGAGAAGAGAAGAGAAGAGAGAGACACAGAGAACATTTGGATGCCCAAACAATAAATGAACTTCAAAAGCATGACAACTATATCCACCATATCATCAAGGAAGCTAAAACAACTTGCATCTTTTGGCTTACTTGAGAGATATTTTCCAAGTCAATTTTCCTCTTGATTACGTCTTTGATCTGACCTTTCTCTGGCCCTTTCTTGACCTGCATTCGCCCAATCAGGTACAGGTGGGATTTGGTCAGGATGAGATCTCTTTTGGTCTTCTTAAATCTACGGTCAAATTTGTCAACTGTCAGCGCAAACTCCACCTGAAATACACAGAAAAGAAGTTCAAGATTCTTTGTCTTTCCTTTTTCCATACTTAATAGATCACTGGATATGGAAAAAAACAGATCAACCTTTTTCATCAAAGCAATAACAGTAACAAAAGTCCACTGCATATCTTACAACAAATAGGCAACTTATAACAAACTTAATTTCCTGGATTTTGTAAAATGTCCACTTTCACACATTTTCAAAATGGACGATCGAGCTCAGTTTAAATGAATTTCTCATGACCCATAAGACTATGAAATGCAACAAATGCTGTCACCTTATCTCTCCTTGGAATCAGTGCTGTCAGGCCTGGTTTGTACTCGACACCAATATAATCTCCGTAGAAGTTTCTGTTCAAGGAATTCCGGCGACGTTCCTTCCTGTTCACTAGAAGATCACTAGCTGCCATTTTTTCCTTTAGGTACCTCTGCTTACTATAGAAAGAGGACCAAGTTATTCAATAATTCTGTATTCATCAATCATCAAAGTGCAATATCAATTAGAAAATAGCGTGCAGCATACAAATCATGAAATTTAAGACCTTCAATCTTATAAAAAAAATATACCACAGATTCTATCCAATGTCAGTTATACAATGTACACAATTTATCTTTCACACAAGTACAGCATTCACCAATTACGTAGACAGAATATGTAGCATATGTATTTCATAACAGGAATCTTTCAACTTTGGCAAGAAACAATTGCAAAACAAGAGTACCTGAAGTATTTTTTGAATGCCTTCTGGATGACTCTTGCATAGTGGTCAAACTTGCGCTCTCTTGATTCTTCTAACATGTAGAGTGACTCAGGGTCCTTTGGATGGATTGTATATGTTAGCGACACATAAAAATGAATTAAATTAGATAAATAATTGAAAAATCCTCTTCATCCAATCATCATAACTCTATTCCTAAAATTAAGAATAATAAGATAATAAAATTCAGTAATTATTTGAAGCACCAATGAAAAGGGGATACCAGACCCTAACACAATTAAAAGTTATATATCCAAGTCTGAGCAATTCTTACACTGCAATGCAAAAAGACTGAAAAATTATTCACTGAAAGCACACACCAAAATAGTAATCACTTACCTTCACAAATATTTTACTTCGGCCAATCTGGTACTGTGCAGGATCCATGTTAACGCTGCGCATTATGACGTTTATGCCTTCTGTGGGCTCTCCATACCAAGCTGGCCACGTCTCCTTGGTCAAGATGGCGTACCTGTGCAGGAACTTCTGGTAGGGACGGCGGTATGCGAATCCTGCTCTCTTGACTTTGATGTTCTCTTTCAAACCCAAATATTCAACCTAAAAAAAAAAGGGGGGGAAAAAGGACATGACTCTAGGAAGATTATGAAAACAAAGGCAAAGAGAAGAAGAAAATTGTTATACAGTCTACTTGAAAGAAAGACAATATATCTTTAATTTTCAAAAATCTGGTTTTCTGTTCTACTTTAGGAGATTCAAAATAAGAATTTCTTACCTGATGCTTCACCATCTGATCATCCCAGTCATGGGGCTTCTTAGTCTCATTGGGCTTGATGCAGCGAATGTAGTGAGGGACACACTTCATCAGTGTTGTGACTAGCTCATTGGCCTGAGTGCGGATCTTCGTGCCTGCTGTGGTTGGCCGCGTCTTCGACCCCTTTTGAAGCACGTCAGGGAAGAGGCTGCGGATGAATGTATTGGTGCTTCCTTGCATGACCTGTAAGTGGAAAATAATTTTTAAAAATTGCAATAAAAACAAGAGAAAGACTTTAGCCCTTGAGTCAAAACCTGATTGTGCTACATGTTTATTTCTTAGAAAATTTGCAATACTGCACTTCTAATTTTGTTTGATTTCAAATCTTTTCAAATCATAAATCATTTCAAGCAACAATATAAATATTAAAAACTAATAGTAATAAAGCAATTCAATATAATAAACATGACAAATAGTTTGCAAAAAATAAGCCACTCCTCTTATTCCAGATAACAAATATTTTTACAACATATAACGCAGAAACCTAAACCGTACCTCAATGATGTCGGTAAAAAGCACATCTCTATTCTTCTCACAGAAGTTTTCAACATGGTAGGAGACATTTCCTGCATAATGCTTAATGGTGAAACCGTGGTTGAAAGGCTGGTAGTGAGGATTACTCCCGACTGTAATGCAACAAAAAAACTTGTATCGTGGCAACAGACACAACAAAAGCACAACGCAAGAAAACCATGAAACCTAAACAAATGTCTTTACAAAAACACTACATGATGCAGAGAGTGAGGGACTCAGGGTGAGAGAGAGAGAGAGAGAGAAGAGAGAGAAGAGAGAGAGAGAGAGAGAGAGAGAGAGAGAGAGAGAGAGAGAGAGAGAGAGAGAGAAGAGAGAATTACCAAAAGAAAGAATTCTGGCAGACGAAATGTTGTTACAGTCTGGCTTGGCTCGACATATTTCATCTTCCTAAGCTACTGTCTTACCTGTGAGCTCATCTTATTACGGAACTCATCATCAGCTCCCTCGGAAACAGCACTCATGGTAGCACACGTGTCGTCCAAGATGCACATGATTCCAGGTGGTCTCTTGCTCTCAATGAGGTCGCACACAACCTTATTGTTGAAAATTCAATGGGCTTCCATTGAATACCCTGTAAGAATAAAATACAAGTGCTCTATAACATATGATTCTTAAGTTTTTAGTGCAAATGTCTAAAAAATAAAAATATAAGTCAGTAAATACACAGTCAATACTGACAACCTTCAAAGTACAAATGAAGCGCAATACCTCAGCCTTGTATTCTTCTTGTTCACTCTTCAGCGTCAACTCAATGAAAATCTGCTGCAGTTTCTCGTTCACGTAGTTGATGCAAAACTGCTCAATCCATTGCGACCAATATTTCAAATCCATAAATGTCGAGGATACCAATGCTGAATAAGTTGGCATCAGTAACCATGGCTTTATTGACAGTCTGAAAAAAGTTCAATCTTAATGCACGTAATGTCACTTGTTCTTTATTTAATAGCCCTGATTAATTTTTAAAAATCAAATAAATAGTAACAATCACATAAAACTTATCCCTTATCTCTACTACTTATCACCTCACTTCCTTTACAGTTCAAAACATCACCTTACATGGGTATTCTTCCTAAATTCATCAATATTTTGAATACTGACTAAACTAAAAATGGAGCCCATATATACAAAAAGTACTCTATCAAAATTCCTTACCTCAACAATATAATCAACATCCTAGAATAGAGTCCCTTACACCAAGCATCACGAGCAAACTGAGCCTGTTCCAGATTGAGCGTGACGTCAACTCTCTCCGACTTCCCCTCCCATTTGCTGTCAAACACGCGGCTGGTAAGCTTCTGGCCTAACTTCTGCTCGTCGATCCCAAGAGGTAGGCAGGGAACTGCAGAACTTAAAACAAAAAGTGGGCATTAAAAATCAAAATATTTCAAAGAGAAAATAATCAAAGTTTTGTGTTTTTTTCTCCTATTGTACAATAAAGGCAATATAAGATTTTACATCAGAAAAATGAAGATGTTTCTGCTCTTACAGGCTGCATCAGAAATTGTGGCTGCATTATTCTGTTCTACGAAAGAGATGTTGCCCATGTGCAGAATGGCCGCAACGACAGACAGGATATCCATCTGCGTCTCTTCCGCCATACCATCACAGACATTGCTGGTAGAGGAAATGACTTACGTTAGAAATTGTATGTAGCAACTATATACATAAACTAAAACGCATTTATAAGAAAACAATATTTCTTCCCATCACAGACATTGCTGGTAGAGGAAATGAATTACATTAGAAATTGTATGTAGCAACTATATATACATAAACTAAAATGCATTTATAAGGAAACAATACTTCTTTCCCAAGGCAACCCATCCCCACACCAGCCCTTACCTCTGAGTGTTTCCTGGAATTCGTGTGCGTCATTGGTGCCATCCACCTTATACACACCACTCTGGCTGAGGTAGGAAAAATAATCCGGTGTTGAAATTCCCAAGTTGTTTTTCATGTCACCTGTTGCTCCGGCACAAAGCTGATAGAAGATGTGGAAGTTGCGCTCACCCTCATTGAGTGAGTGAACTCTAGACTTTTCCAACAGAAAATTTGAAATCTTTCCTCCGAGAGGTTCACCACCACTAGAAAACTGAATTTCTATGTATTTTCCCTGAAAATTGAAAGTCTGTTACATATGTATCTTAGGCACAATAAAGTCCACATTATTCTGCAAGTATATTCCATATACTGTATTATTCTTATTGTCAAAAGCTGTCACTTTGTACTATGCATTTGCAAAAAAATTAAATGACAATAATTAAAACTTCAAAAATATCTAGTTCCATATATTCCATACATATTAAAACTTTTATTACTTACAAATCTTGAGGAATTGTTGTTTCTTGTTGTCTTTGGTTTCCAAAGGCTTCTAGCAAAGGATTTGACTCAAGTATAATATCTTTAACTTGTTGGACTCTCTGTCCACCTCCAGATATGCGAGTTATATAGTTCATTATAAATTTTGCAGAGACGGTTTTTCCTGCTCCAGATTCACCGCTGGAAAAGCAGAAAAATTTAGTAATGGTAGAGCATGGATTCTGCCATAAAATCAAATTAATAATAATTGAAAGCTGTATACAAGCCTAAATTATTTCTGTCTGACTTCCATTTTCCACCCGTTATCTCACTGTCTAGTATATTATAAACAATTATATTATATTATTTTTTTTTACTACTCTTTCTATCCAGCGTATGTAACTTACTCACACTCTACTAGTCTATCCTCTTGTCTATTTCATTTCACTTTTCATCTTTGAATTCCTAACCTCTCTCAGCAGTCTAGATCTTCAGCCACAGACTACACAGTATAACATGAGCAGCCTATTCCACACTAACTGTTAACCTGTCAATTACCAATTGCTACTGACCTAATGATGACACACTGGCTATCGGAATCGATCAACATATTCCGGTACATTGTATCAGCAATAGAATATATGTGAGGCGGAACTTCATACTGTGCCGCACCCTGATACATCTCAATTTCACGTTCTCCAAAGTATGGCAGCTGCTTGAAGGGGTTCACGGCAACAAGCACAGGCCCAATGTAGGTGTAAATTCTGAAAAGACAAGAATTAGATATTTGCATTTGGGGAAGTGATAATTATTTCTGTGGATATGAATCAATTAATATATCAGAAAATCTAAACATAACACACATCATAAATCTAAAATATTCTGTATCATTATTGTTACTGTTCTTCATAGTTATAATGTGAATTAATGTCCATCTAGATTTCTATGAAACACTATTTGCTTTATATTTCAAGCAATTACTTCACACCAAAGAAAGTTCAATGAGCAAGATTTTTGTGCAAATTGTAATAAAAATACTATTGAATAAAAAAGTTCCTCTATTTAACAAATTCTACTTTAAGTTCTCAGCAAAGGCAGAATAAGATTACATTCCTATAAAAAAAAAAAATAATAAAAAAAAAAATATATATACTTATTATTTATGTATATGTATATATCTATACTATATCTACATCTACTACATCTATATCTATATCTAATATAATTATATATAAAACACAAACTTACTTGTCTTCCATAAATCTCTTCTTTAAGTTCTCTGCAATGGCTGACTCAGTGATCTTGGAGAGGAGGACCATGTCATCCACAGACGACTTCTTCCCCTCCCTCACTCTGCCAGTGATACACCTGGAAAAGGGGAAATGATCAGTATATGGACAAATGATATCAATTCTTAGTAACAGACTCATTTCCAAAGACATGGAAAAGAATTGTAAAGACATATAGTGTACTACTGCCAAAGGACAACAGAGAAAAGAATTGAAAGGGTACATTGTGGAGCTGGAAGAGGCCGTTGAGGCTTTCCTGGATTAGGAGGAGGAAGATTATGGTGGCTGTGGGACCTGAGAAAGAGGTAATGAGGACATAAAGAAGGCATCGAATAAAATTCATGGGTCATAGGGTAAGAGGCAGGTAGCTTTGTCTAAAAGAGTGGAGGACGCAAGAGGAAGTCAGAGAGGGAAATATATGGATAGGATCTTGAGAAATAACTAAGGTGTTACCCCAAGTCATTTGTTGCATGTGACAAGAAACAGCAGTCAGTAAAGATCCACAGAGGTGGCATCTTCAGTGACATGAATAATTGTAAGTCAATAAAAGTAAGCATATTACACAAAGACTTACTCTACTATCATTTGCTTTGTGGTTAAAGTGATACTATTTTTTCACCTTCATTTCAAAATCTACTGCAACATACTGCACAGTCCTGAGTTCACAATCGTATTTTCTTTACAAGAGAATATAGACTGTAGCTAGGACATCTGAAGGCCTTATTAATATTCCTCAATTATGCTTATTATACACATATATGTGTAAAATAAAATAAAGGAAAATTCATAATCATTAATTAAAAGAAAGAAAAAAAAATACAAACTTAAACCGGTTACCCTTCCTTCATATTCTAAAACTTACACCAGTCTTCTTACATGCATACTATGTGATTTATGAATGATTGACTAACACACAAGGCACCATTTAGGAAGCCAAGATAGCCACTGAGCATACCCCACATATCAATGCCTCAGGAAAGCTTCTTTCAGCTTCTCTGTGTGAGAGAGAGAGAGAGAGAGAGAGAGAGAGAGAGAGAGAGAGAGAGAGAGAGAGAGAGAGAGAGAGAGAGAGAGAGAGAGAGAGAGAGAGGTGTGTGTGTGTGTGTGTGTGTGGTGTGTGTGTGTGTGTGTGTGTGTGTGTGTGTGTGTGTGTGTGTGTGTGGTGTGTGTGTTGTGTGTGTGCAAGTATATATATTTGTTATATATATTGTTATATAACATATGTATATAAATATTGATTTCATATATATATAATATATATATATATATATATATATATATATATATATATATATATATATATATATATAATATATGTATATTGTTATCATACCTCAAATGTTTTAATAATCATAGTTTTATAGTTATCTAAGTCATGAATTTCGTTATCACATGGCATATTATCATTATCATTACGTTCGGTTCTTAAGAATTTGCTGAATTGAACAATGTTGTCAAGCTTCCTGGGTCTCCTTCTCAGCCTCTCGGGCGACTTCCTGGGTCTCCTTCTCGGCTTCTTAGGCGACTTCCTGGGTCTCCTTCTTGGGCTCTTGGATGACTTCCTGGGTCTCCTTCTCGGGCTCTCGGGCGACTTCCTGGGTCTCCTTCTCGGCTTCTTAGGCGACTTCCTGGATCTCCTTCTCAGCTCTCTCGGGCGACTTTCTGGGTTTCCTTTTCGGGCTCTCGAGCGACTTCCTGGTTCTCCTTCTCGGCCTCTTGGGTGACTTCCTTGGTCTCCTTCTCGGGCTCTTGGGTGACTTCCTGGGTCTCCTCGGCCTCTTGGGCAATGAATTAACAAGCGGTATATCCAGCATGCATAGTGCACACAAAGTCTTTTTTTCTCTTCCTTTATGTGGATAGACAATATTTATAGGGTTGAATGATATGGGAAAGTTATGGATGATTGATCCTTATGCGGTTAATGGTGTGTCCAAATGAATAATCAGTAGTGTCAGTATCTAATCATTATATCGTATTACCCTGCCCCTGTTATAGAAAGTGAAAGCTCAAAAGATACTCCTTTCTCTATTGCAGCATTGAATATTACTCATTCTTGGGCTCTTGGGCGACTTCCTGGGTCTCCTTCTCGGGCTCTTGGGTGACTTCCTGGGTCTCCTTCTCGGGCGACTTCCCGGGTCTCCTTCTCGGGCGACTTCCNCTCCTCCGGGCTCCCGGGCGACTCCCTGGGTCTCCTCCTCGGGCTCTCGGGCGACTCCCTGGTTCTCCTCCTCGGGCTCTCGGGCGACTCCCTGGGTCTCCTCCTCGTGTTCTCGGGCAACTCCCTGGGTCTCCTTCTCGGGCTCTGGGGCGACTCCCTGGGTCTCCTCCTCGGGCTCTGGGGCGACTCCCTGGGTCTCCTCCTCGGGCTCTCCGACTCCCTGGGTCTCCTCGGGCGACTCCCTGGGTCTCTCCTCGGCGACTCCTGGGTCTCCTCCTCGGGCTCTCGGGCGACTCCTTGGGTCTCCTCCTCGGGCGACTCCTTGGGTTTCCTCCTCGGGCGACTCCCTGGGTCTCCTCCTTGGGCTCTCGGGCGACTCCCTGGGTCTCCTCCTGGGCGACTCCCTGGGTCTCCTCCTGGGCGACTCCCTGGGTCTCCTCCTCGGGCTCTCGGGCGACTCCCTGGGTCTCCTTCTCGGGCTCTGGGGCTACTCCCTGGGTCTCTTCCTCGGGCTCTCGGGCGACTCCCTGGGTCTCCTCCTCGGGCTCTGGGGCGACTCCCTGGATCTCCTCCTCGGGCTCTCGGGCGACTCCCTGGGTCTCCTCCTCCTCTCGGGCGACTCCCTGGGTCTCCTCTCGGGCGACTCCCTGGGTCTCTCCTCGGGCTCTGGGGCGACTCCCTGGGTCTCCTCCTCGGCTCCCTGGGCTCTCTGGGGCGACTCCTGGGTCTCCTCCTCGGGCTCTGGGGCGACTCCCTGGTCTCCTCCTCGGGCTCTCGGGCGACTCCTCCTCGGGCGACTCCTCCTCCTCGGGCTCTGGGGCGACTCCCTGGTCTCCTCCTCGGGCTCTCGGGCGACTCCCTCCTCTCGGGCTCTCGGGCGACTCCCTGGGTCTCCTCCTCGGGCTCTGGGGCGACTCCCTGGGTCTCCTCCTCGGGCTCTCGGGCGACTCCCTGGGTCTCCTCCTCGGGCTCTCGGGCGACTCCCTGGGTCTCCTCCTCGGGCTCTGGCGACTTCTGGGTCTCCTCCTCGGGCTCTCGGGCGACTCCTGGGTCTCCTCCTCGGGCTCTGGGCGACTCCCTGGTCTCCTCCTCGGGCGGGACTCCCTGGTCTCTCCTCGGGCGACTCCTGGGCTCGGGCTCTGGGCGACTCCCTGGGTCTCCTCCTCGGGCTCTCGGGCGACTCTGGTCTCCTCCTCTGGGCGACTCCTGGGTCTCTCCTCGGGCTCTGGGCGACTCCCTGGGTCTCCTCCTCGGGCTCTCTCCTGGGTCTCCTCCTCGGGCTCTGGGCGACTCCCTGGTCTCTCGGCTCTCGGGCGACTCTCTGGGTCTCCTCGGCTCTGGGGCGACTCCCTGGTCTCCTCTCGGGCTCTGGGGGACTCCCTGGGCTCCTCCTCGGGCTCTGGGCGACTCCCTGGGTCTCCTCCTCGGGCTCTGGGGCGACTCCCTGGGTCTCTCCTCGGGCTCTCGGGCGACTCCCTGGGTCTCCTCCTCGGGCTCTCGGCGACTCCCTGGGTCTCCTCCTCGGGCTCTGGGGCGACTCCCTGGGCTCGGCTCTCGGCGACTCCCTGGGTCTCTCCTCCTCTCCCTGGGGCGACTCCCTGGGTCTCCTCCTCGGGCTCTCGGGCGACTCCCTGGGTCTCCTCCTCGGCTCTCGGGCGACTCCCTGGGTCTCCTCCTCGGGCTCTCGGGCTGGGTCTCCTCCTCGGGCTCTCGGGCGACTCCCTGGGGGGCGACTCCCTGGGTCTCCTCCTCGGGCTCTCGGGCGACTCCTGGGTCTCCTCTCGGGCTCTCGGCGACTCCTGGGTCTCCTCCTCGGGCTCTGGGCGACTCCCTGGTCTCCTCCTCGGGCTCTTGGGCGACTCCCTGGGTCTCCTCCTCGGGCTCTGGGCGACTCCCTGGGTCTCCTCCTCGGCTCTCGGCGACTCCCTGGGTCTCCTCGGGCTCTCGGGCGACTCCCTGGTCTCCTCCTCGGGCTCTGGGGCGACTCCCTGGGTCTCCTCCTCGGGCTCTCGGGCGACTCCCTGGGTCTCCCTCGGGCTCTCGGCTCTCCCTGGGTCTCCTCCTCGGGGGGCGGGTCTCCTCTCGGGCTCTGGGCGACTCCCTGGGTCTCCTCCTCGGGCTCTCGGGCTCTCCTGGGGGGCTCTCGGCGACTCCCTGGGTCTCTTCTCGGGGCGACTCCCTGGGTCCTCCTCTCGGGCTTCGGGCGACTCCCTGGGTCTCCTCCTCGGGCTCTCGGGCGACTCCCTGGGTCTCCTCCTCGGGCTCTGGGCGACTCCCTGGGTCTCTCCTCGGGCTCTCGGGCGAGTCTCCTCCTCGGGCTCTGGGCGACTCCCTGGGTCTCCTCCTCGGGCTCTGGGGCGACTCCCTGGGTCCCTCCTCGGCTCGGGCGACTCCTGGGTCTCCTCCTCGGGCTCTGGGCGACTCCTGGGTCTCCTCCTCGGGCTCTCGGGCGACTCCCTGGGTTCCTCCTCGGGCTCTCGGGCGACTCCCGGGTCTCCTCCTTGGCTCTCGGGCGACTCCCTGGGTCTCCTCCTCGGGCTCTCGGGCGACTCCCTGGGTCTCCTCCTCGGGCTCTCGGGCGACTCCCTGGTCTCCTCCTCGGGCTCTCGGGCGACTCCCTGGGTCTCCTCCTCGGGCTCTCGGGCGACTCCCTGGGTCTCCTCCTCGGCTCTCGGGCGACTCCTGGGTCTCCTTCTCGGGCTCTGGGGCGACTCCTGGGTCTCCTCCTCGGGCTCTGGGGCGACTCCCTGGGTCTCCTCCTCGGCTCTCGGCGACTCCCTGGGTCTCTTCCTCGGGCGGGCTCCTCGGCGACTCCCTGGGTCTCCTCCTCGGGCTCTCGGGCGACTCCTGGGTCTCCTCCGGGCGACTCCTTGGGGGCGACTCCTGGGTCTCCTCCTCGGGCTCTCGGGCGACTCCTGGGTCTCCTCCTGGGCGACTCCCGGCTCCTCGGGCGACTCCTGGGTCTCCTCCTCGGCTCTGGGGCGACTCCCTGGGTCTCCTCTCGGGCTCTGGGCTACTCCCTGGGTCTCTTCCTGGCTCTCGGGCGACTCCCTGGGTCTCCCTCGGGCTCTGGGGCGACTCCCTGGTCTCCTCCTCGGGCTCTCGGGCGACTCCCTGGGTCTCCTCCTCGGGCTCTCGGGCGACTCCCTGGGTCTCCTCCTCGGGCGACTCCCTGGGTCTCCTCCTCGGGCTCTGGGCGACTCCCTGGTCTCCTCCTTCCTCCTCGGGCTCTGGGGCGACTCCTGGGTCTCCTGGCTCTGGGGCGACTCCCTGGTCTCCTCCTCGGGGGGCGACTCCCTGGGTCTCCTCTCGGGCTCTCGGGCGACTCCCTGGGTCTCCTCCTCGGGCTCTGGGGCGACTCCCTGGTCTCCTCCTCGGCTCTCGGGCGACTCCCTGGTCTCCTCCTCGGGCTCTGGGGCGACTCCTGGGTCTCCTCCTCTCTGGCGACTCCCGGGTCTCCTCCTCGGGCTCGGGCGACTCCCTGGGTCTCCTCCTCGGGCTCTCGGGCGACTCCCTGGG